TGTTAAAGGAGGCACACCTAGCCACTCACTTGCTCATCAGGCCATGCTCCCAAGTTCTGTTCAGCAGACACAAAAGAGCTTATGAGGTAAGAACAGAAAAATATCCGTGGATTTGGTAATTAGAAAATCACTGGCAATCAACTTTAAAAGAGCAGTTTCTGCATTGGGTTGAGGATAGGGCAGAGAACACAATACTGAAGGTCAGTAGCAAAGCAAGTTTTGTTTTGGGGTGTAGGGGGGAAGATGAAGGTTGATAAGCCAATGGAAAGATTGGAAGTCAAGGAACTCCTTTCCAAAAGGTTGAATGAACTAGGAAGGAGAGTGGAGAAGAAGATGTAAGGTCAAGGGGTGGTAGGATTTTTTTTTTTCTAGGTAGAACAACCAACCATATTTATGTAGATTATGGGACTAGAGCTGGATGAGCAGATGTTGAAAATACAGGGAAAAGAAAGTGTAATTAATTGATGGTGACAGGTGCATTGTAGTGAATGAATGAATGGTCACAGACACAGATGAAATCGCCTTGGGGAGGGGGGTATGTTGTCCACAGGCACCTGAGGAATGGAGGTAAGGGTGATGCCCAGTAGCGATGGGCTTCTAAGGAGGAAGCAGGATGGTTAGGGAATTCCCTTATGATGTTCTTACACCTGGTTCCTACTTCAAAGAGATAGTAATCTGCTTAGCATGAAAAGCTGGAACTGAGAATGGCTACCTAAAGGAAGGGGAGAAGAACTGACCAGAATAAAGGAATTATCCTGAATGACGACCATACTCTATTAAGATAACTTCTCTGGTGCTTTTGGCTGGGCCAGACTGCTGCTGGGTGGCCTTTACATCTGACCCAGTGCCACATTTCTAACATGCTACCCAATTGTAAGCCCTGCTAGGGATCAGACTCATATATGTTATGCCTACATGAGTTTATAATTTTATTTCTTTCGCTATTCTTCCTTTTCTTTCATTTCTAAACCTTTCCACTCTGTCTTTTAGAACTCCTGCTCTAAATAAAAAAATCCCTCCATATTTTCAGCCTCCTCTCTGATCACTTCCACCGTCTCAAGGTTTAAATGAACACTGGATGTCCCTGAAGATTAGTAGTTCCCTGAAGCTGCTGCCACTCCTACAACAGAACACCCAAACTTTTGAGTGTCTACTCTGTGGTGGTAATCTTTCAAAGCACTTTCAGTATATTAGCTAATTTGATAACCCTCTGAGGTTGGTGCTATTATCTGTTTTTTTGTTTTTGTTTTGTTTTTTAAGAGACAAGGTCTCGCTCTGTCACCCAGGCTGGAGTGCAGTGGCACGATCACAGCTCATAGCAGACTTGAGCTCCTGGGCTAAAGTGATCCTCTCACCTCAGCCTCCCAAGTAGCTGGGACTATAGGTATGCTCCACCATGCTCAGCTAATTTTTAAATTTTTTTGTAGAGGTGAGGGCTCGCTATGTTGCCCAGGCTGGTCTTGAATCCTAGCCTCAAGCAGTCCTCTTGCTTTGACCTCCCAAAGTGTTAGGATTATAAGCTGCTGCACCTGGCCTATGAACTGATTTTTACAGGTGAGGAAACTAAGGTTATATAGAACTTGACCAAAGGCAAACAGCTAGTAGGTGACAAAGTTGAAGGATAAACCCAGGAAGCATGACACAAGGATCTTTACTCTTGAGAATGAAAACATACTGACTTAAGCTCTTTCAAGATGAGGCTGTTGAATTATTTTATACCCCAAGAACTTTATTTCCAGGGGTGCTGATGTTGCCAATTGCTAAATCTTTTAAAGGTTTGTGTTCTAAATCTAAGTTGCTTCTTGGCTTTCCTCCTTCAAGTGGCTTAATATTTCACTTTTTTCGGTTGGCTAAGTCCACTAGTCCTTGTTGCTATGTCTTATTTCTGGTTTCTTTTGTCTTTCGGGTTTTATAACTTAAAAGAAAAAAAAATCTCTTTATTGCCATATTGGGGGTTTAAGGAGGCTGTGAATTTAACTGCTTGTGTTTTTTATCTCCTGCTACTTTGAACTTGAACAGCTAGTTTGGTTTAACTTGAGAAAATATGTTAATTTACCACTTAATAGATTACAGGAAAAAGCTTGTTATTGTCTTGATAGATCTACTTGGCCATCCTCGCCATGGTTTATTCCCTAAAGAGACTTGCGTATGTGCCCTTGAAGCATCTGTGGGAGTGTTCACGGCAGCATTGTTAGTGGCACCACAAAGCTGTAACCCATTCACATGTTCATTTGCATGAACTTGGTCAGGAGAGTAGACAAGTAGTCATATGATCAGTTACATAGTGCGAAACTCTAGAGAAGCAAAGCAATTCTCCTGTGGCTAAACATGCGTCAATATGGGTAAGTCCTAGAAAGATAGTGTTGAATGACAAAAGCAAAGTATGTAGTCATGTGCCACATAATGACATTTTGGTCAATGATGGACTCCATATATGGTGGTGGTCCCATAAGATTATAAGATTGTAGTTTTACTGTGCCTTTTCTATGTTTAGATACACAGATTCCATTATACTACAGTTGCCTACAGTATTCAGCACAGCAACACGCTAGGAGCTATAGGCTGTAGCTGCTACACCATATAGCCTAGGTATGTAGTAGGCTATACCATATAGGTTTGTGTTAGGACACTCCATGATGTTCACACAACAATGAAATCACCTAACGATGCATTTCTTGGAATGTATTCCTGTCAATAAGTGATGCATGACTGCACTTTTGTTTTTTATGAAGTTCAAAAAAGTTCAACAAATAATATGTTGTTTTAAGACTGTAGGGAGCAATGAACAAAAAGTTGAGGATTGCAGTTCCTTCGTGGAGGGCAGGAAAAAGTGGAGATCTGATCAGGGATCAGCTGACACGGAGCTTCATCAATGATAATGCTGCTGAGTGGTAGATTAGTGGGTGCTAGTGTTATTATCATGCTTTATGACTTAGAGATATGTAATATGCTCTTTTATTGTGGTAAACATAAATTTTTACCATTTGGATCATTTTAAAGTCTACAATTCAGGGGCATCAAGTAAATTGACGGAGTTGTTCAGCTATCACCATCTTTTTTTTTTGAGTCGGAGTCTCACTCTGTTACCCAGGCTGGAGTGCAGTGGCACACTCACAGCCACTGCAGCCTCAATTTGCTGGGCTCTGGAGATTCTTCCACCTCAGACTTCCAAGTAGCTAGAACTACAGGTGTGCGCCACCATGCCCAGCTAATTTTTTGATTTATTGTAGAGAAGAGGCCATGTTGCCCATGCTGATCTTGAACTCCCAGGCTCAGGCAGTCCTCTCACCGCCCCTGGCCTATTAACACCTTTTGAAAAGAGATTTCAAAAGTTGTTTTTTTTTTTAAATCACCCCAGAAGGAAGCCCTCTATCTATAAAGTAGTCATGTCTCATTTCCGCCCCTCTCTCCAGCCCCTCATTAACCTACTTTTCATCTTTATGGATTTGCCTGTTCTAGACATTTTACATATAATATGTAGCCATTCGTATCTGGCTTCTTTCACTTACTGTTATGTTTTCAGTTTACCTATGATGTAGCATGTTTCAATACATATTTCCTTTTTATGACCAAATACTTTAATAGTTCATTTTGGCCATGTACTACATTTTGTTGGTCCATCACACATTGCTAAACATTTGGATTGTTTCTACCTTTTGCCACTGTGAAGAGAGCTGTTATAACTATTTGTGTATAAGTATTTGAACACATTCTTTCAGTTCTTTTGGGCATATGTCTGTGAGCAGAATTGCTGAGTCATATGGTAATTCTTAGACTTAACTTATTGAGAAACTGCTAAACTCTTTTCCAGAGTGGCTGTGCATTTTACATTTCCACCAGCAAGGTATAAGTTTCCAATTTCTCTACATCCTCACCACCACTTGTTTTTTTCTTTTTTTAAAAATTATGGCCATTCTAGTGGATATGAAATGGTATCTTATTATGATTTTGATTTATATTTCCCTTATGATTAATCATATTGAGTATCTTTTCATGTGCTTGTTAGCTATTTATATATCCTCTTTGGAGAAACATCAACTCACTTGTCTATTTTTAATGTAAAATTTCTTTTAATATTTCACAACTCAAATATTTAAAAAATTGTGCATAGCAGATGCACTGTTTCCCTGGGATAGTAGTAACAAGGAAGGCTTTTAAATCAAGTGTTTGATCAAGCTACTATGGAAAAAAATTAAAGCTCAAACATCCTTTGGTAGGCAGGTAGCTTTAAATTGCTCACAGTATTAACTCAAGGTAAGTATGAGGGAGAAATTTGTTTGAGTAAGGGAAATTAATTACCTTTTAAATAATTTTTTAGTATAAACTTAAACCAAAAAAATTGGCCTAGAAAAGGTATTTTTGTAGATACACACAATTGCCTAACATTCTTATTTTTTCATTTACCAAGTTCTATTACTCCTTGAACTGGAAGTAGAATTTTAAGATGCTTAAATACATTTTTGTGTGGTTGATGTTGTCTGCCTTCTTTCTGTAGACTGTCTTTCTTATCTTGCCATTAACTCTCCCATTATTTCATGAGTACATCAAGCAATGTAAAGATAACTGTATTATTGAATTTACTGAATAAATATTGACTTTTCTGTTAAATTTTAGGAACTATGCTATAGAATCTTATTCCTTGAATTATAAAATTGATAGGGTAGTTGTGATTTGCCATCTATGTTTTTCAGAAGTCTTGGGAGGGAGGTTGTTTTTTTGTAGAGACGGGTTCTCTCTATGTTGCCTTGGCTAGTCTTGGACTCCTGGCCTCAAGTAATCCTCCTGCCTCGACTTTCCAGACTGCTAGGATTACAGGCTTAGGCCACCATGGCTGGCCTATAATTTTCAGAAATCTTTACATTGATGACTACATAAAGATCTGATTAATCAAGTAATGCTGTTCTTAGACAAATGGGTAATAGGAGCTGTTTGCTAGCCTGGTGATTCTTCTTGCACCATCTCATCAATTACTCTGATCTTTTTTCTTCATTTCTTTGTAGCCGCTTCCTGAGAAGTTTGTGGTGAAAGGTGTCGTGGATCGTTTTTCAGAAGAATTTGTGGAGACCAGAAGAAAAGCTTTGGATAAATTTCTAAAAAGAATTACGGATCATCCTGTGCTGTCTTTCAATGAACACTTTAATGTTTTCCTTACTGCTAAGGTAAGGACAGAATTTTGCATAGTCCTTTCTAAAATTATCATTCTTGGGGACTCTTCCCTCCCTCCCTCCCTCCATTGCCCAGGCAGGAGTGAAGTGGCAAAATCATGGCTCACTACAGCTTTGACCTCCTGGACTCAGGCAATCCTCCCACCTTAGCCTCCTGAGTAGTTGGGACTATAGGTGTACACCACCACTCCTGGCTAATTTAAAACAATTTTTTATGGTGATGCAATCTTGCTGTGTTGCCTAGGCTGATCTCAAACTTCTGGGCTCAAGCAATCTTCCACTTTGACCTCCCAAAGTGCTGGGATTATAGGTGTGAGCCCCCAGGCCTGGTTGGAGCTCTTTCTTAAAAGCTGTTTTGGTCTCTCACAAGCCATCCTAATGAATGGTTCACTGTAGCAGGTGTCATAAAATTGCTCTGTTTTGGGGGGTCCATTTGCATTAGCATGGTTTATTTGTTAGAATTTAGGAGAACCTCTCCATCCCCCCTTGCAGCTGCAAAGGAAGTTAGAATATTTTCACTTGCCAAAAGCAGAGATAAGTGTTTCCTTAAACACTTCTCAGTAATATTTTCGGGTGAGACCACTCTGACCAACAATGGGCACAGGAGGGAAAGAACACTTACTGAGTGTTTGAGATGGGTGTTCTTAAGAACTGCTACGTGATTACTCACAGCCTCATTTTACAGACAAGCAAACCGAAGTCCTGAGAGTTTGTACTTGTTCAAGTGGCATTGCTAGGATTTGAGATCTGGCCTTTGTGGCTCCTGAGACCACACTTTCCCTCTGTATTAGACCACCTGACCAATACTTGCCTGTAAGTATGTTCCTACCAGGTGTGTGCTTTTCCCAAGCATTTACAATAAACATTTGGGTCCTGCAGAGTTGCCAGATTCTGTGTGCTCAAAATCAAGTTGGTTGTCCACTGTAACTTTTCTCTGCACTTCCCTTTTGGCAGAACTGAGAAAACCTGAGGTGCTACGCTCTCATAGTCTGCAGAAGTGGGGTCACATGCTCAGGCTCTCTGCTAGTTTCCTTCCAGCCCCATCTGTTTGGTTTCAGGTATCACATTCCCATATTCAGGCCATACTTCATCTGTTCAATATTGGCAAGTGTATTGTGGTCCAGATACTTCCTGGCTTTCTTTTTCAAAATCGCAAAATTGAGAAATGCTTACAGATAACATCAGTTGATATTAAAGGCTTCAGAGAGGGTGCCATTCTTCACTCAATAGAAACCACATGATGAAGTTCTTTACTTTTGTTTTATAACCTCGGTAGGCATTATTAGTCTTATTGATGACACTCCCATTCATTGCCTAGTTTTCCCAGAGACTGTTCCCCCATGGGTTGAACTTGTACATATTTTAAAAAGAAGTATTTCCTGGTGTGCTAATCCTCAGGAATGGTGCTTACAACTTATACTCAAAGTAAAATCTATTCTGTTCTCTGAAAGCGCAGCTTACTTTTTGCCCTAGATCTCTGTCCAGAAAGCCCTCAAGCACAGTCATCTTCCCTGAACAAAAAATAAAAGGATGGGGAGGTGGGGAAAGTCTGGAGCCCTGGTCATTAGGAATTTGTATGGAGAATAAGTAGTAGGGAGATGAGAAAGAGAGGGGGAGAGAGAGAGAGAGAGAGAGAGAGAGAGAGAGAGAGAGAGAGAGAGAGAGAGAGAGAGAGATTTACTTATTTATGGGCCAAAGCAGTATGAAAATGATTAAAAATAGGGTCCTTCAGTTAAAATCCAACTTCATGTGAGTGAATACTGGAGAGGTGGCTTTAAACAGAACAAACCCTTGCCCTTGTTCAGCATTAATTTCTGAACTAAATGTGCTAAATAACCCTCTTTTCTTTTAAAAAAATTTAGTTGTAATATAATGCACATAAAGTTTATCTTTTTTTTTAGTTGGAGTCTCACTTTGTTGCCTGGGCTGGAGAGTGCAGTGGCAGGATCACAGCTCCCGGTAGCTTTGACCTCCTGGGCTCAGGCGATCCTTTCACCTCAGCCTCCTGAGTAGCTGGGACTACTGGTGCATGCCACCACACATGGCTAATTTTTAAAATATTTTTTGTAGATACGAGGTCTTGCTCTGTTGCCCAGGCTGGTCTTGAGCTGGGCAACATTGAGAGGCCTGGGCTCAAGTGAGCCTCCTTGAGTCAGCTTCTCCAATGCTGGCATTACAGACATGAGTCACTACACCCAGCCCTTCTTAAACATTTCTAAGTGTGCAGTTGAGTGGTAAGTATATTCACATTATTGTGCAACCAATCTTCCCAACTTTTTCATCTTGCGAAACCGAAACTTGTGTACCTGTTAAATAAACACTTCCCTATTTCCCTTCCTCCAGATCCTCCATCTTTTCCTTTATCATAACGTGCATGACTTGGTCTTGTTCTTAGATGAGCCACTTTCATGTTCTGCCATGGGGAATGCAGAGATGGTCTTCCTTTTTCTTGTGATGACTTGATCTTATCACAGACTCGAAGTGTCCTTAAAAATAAGCCAGTAATGCTGGAAGAAGTGGGGGAGGCTCAATATCCACTAATTTCAGGTCAATATTTTCATCTTTGGCAGAATGGGTACAGCAGTCAGATAGGTACTACTAAATATCTTTGTTTAACATATTAATCAACTTATTTGGAGACAACCTTTCCAAGCTCTATGCAAAGTAAGCCCATTTCAATCTAGCCCTACTCCAAAAAATGCTGTCTGCAGAAGCAGTTCTAAGAACTCTGAGGCTTCAGTTATGGTCTTGTGAAAGCCTAGTACCTTTGAGGATGTTTCTTATCTAGAGTATGGGAGGTTAGATGTGGAGATGGACTCTAGGACATTCTCTCAGGCAGCCTGACTTTGAAGAGCAGGAGAGAACTGGAGCGGGCTGTTTTTATGATGGGTGAGCCTTGGGTGCTTTTTGCATCCTGAAGGTTTAGAAGGTGAAGATACAGACAGGAGAGGGGATAATTGATAGGGCAAGGGCTTTAGTTTGGGGGAAGGATGGATAGATGTTTCAGAAAAACTCTTAAATTGTATGACACCACAGCAATCATTATCCTCACAGAAAAAGACTTTTGTGACCAAATGTGTTGGAGATTTCCTCTATACACTAAGCAGGGGCCACCGACTTGGTGTCTTCCAAGTTAATTCTGATACTTCCTAGCTGGAGATAGCATCAGATCCCACAGGCTGAAGGTTTCTGTAGTTTGAATTGTTGTCCCCTCCAAATCTCATGTTGAAATGTAAAAATGCTGAAAAGTGTTGGAGGCGAGGCCTAGTAGGAGGTGACAGGATCACGTGGGTGGATCCCTCATGAATGGTTTGGTGTCTTTTTGGCAATATGAGTGAATTCCTGCTCTATTAGTGCCCATGAGAGTTGGTTTAAGAGAGCTGGGCACCTCCTCTCTCTCTTGCTCTGACTCTTGTCATGTGATGTGCTGATTCTCCTTGCCTTCTGCCATTAGTAAAAGCTTCCTGAGGCTTCACCAAAAAACCGAAATGATGCTGGTGCCATGCAGAACTGTGCACCAAATAAACCATTTTTCTTTATAACTTACCCAACCTCAGGTATTTCTTTATAAGGATGCAAAGAAGGCTAATACCAGGGCTCAGTTCCTAAGTCTGAGAGCTTACATCTTGGACATCAACAAGTCCAGGCCTCTAGAACTTCTGACCAACCACCTCAAGTTGGGGTTCCCATGACCTCCTCTTTGGGTTCGATTAATTTGGTGGAACAGCTCACACAACTCAGGGAAACACTGATGCTGACTGATTTATGTTAAAGATTATTACAAAGGATATAGAGGAAGAGATGTGTAAGACAAGGTGTGGGGAAGGGGTGTGGCGCTTATGTCTGGGTATGCCACTCTCCAGGAACCTTCATGTGTTCAGCTATCTGGAAGCTCTCTGAACCCAGTCCCTTTGGGTTTTTATGGAAGCTTCATGAAGTCAGCATTCCTCCTCCAAGAATATGGGGCAGGACCCTCTCTGGAATAAGGATCTAATGACCCAAAATCAGAAAGGTGGGAGAAGATTAGAGTACTGCCTGGGGTAGATGAAACAGGGGCAGGGAAGGCCAGGGATTTTCTATTTCCTGAGGCCTGCTCCCCAGGCCTAGCGCACTCAGCATTTCAGTGAAAGGGCTATGGGAATTAGGAGCCAGGAACTGTGGATGAAAGCATAACATAGGGTGCCAAAAAATGTATATCCATTTTAAGAGAGGAGAAATCTGTATTAAAATTATAATATTCAGTAAGATGAATACAAGTCATGTTTGACTTCTACAATTATAAGAGGTGTTCAAAGTGTACACCATTAGTGTCCAGACGCTTCTGTTTACGATGAGCATCTCTTAACAGCACTTAAAATGCGTATATATTTTTTCAAATTTAACTTTTATTTTTATTTTATTTTATTTTTTTTCAGTTGAAGTCTCACTCTGTCGCCCAGACTGGAGTGCAGTGGCACGCTCCCAGCCACCGCAGCCTCAAACTGCTGGGCTCCGGCGATCCTTCCACCTCAGCCTTCCAACTAGCCAGAACTACAGGCATGTGCTACCACGCCCGGCTAGTTTTTGATTTATTGTAGAGACAAGGTCTTGCCAAGTTGCCCGGGCAGGTCTTGTACCCGTGGGCTCAGACAATCCACTCGCCTCGGCCTCCTAAGGTGCTGGGAATACAGGCTGAGCCACCGAGCCCGGCCCAAATTTAACTTTTAAATTTTTTTATTTTAAAATTGTGCGGTATAATTCAGGGTTAGGTATACAAATATTCATTGTGCAGGTGCCCTTGTTGATGAGGTGTGTCCCCCCCCCAGGCAGATTTCCACTACTGTCAATCTTACATCCCCGCCCCCGCCTCCCAGTTTCCTGCTACTGAAAATATGTATACATTTTTTGGCACTTCTAGTATACATGTATCTCATAATCACAGTAGGAACGAGTGGATAAAGAGCTGCTTGAAGAAGGGAATGAAATCACAAGGAGCCTATGCTTCAGATACTATGGAGACCTCACCTGAAATTGTGTGTCAATGGGGAGGGACTTTTGGGCAGCTGTACTAACCATGAATTTCTCATTCTCTGCTCTGTGCCTCAGGCCAGGTCACCAGAAAGTTATAGCTTGTTCCACATTCCCTTATCTCTCTCTAGACTGGAAATTAACATTCTGTTTGTATTGAAGGTGGATATAAGGAACAGATACCTGCATCCTCTGTAAAACCATTTTGGGAGGCACCATTTCAGTGACATGGGACTACCTGAAGATACTGTAAAGTCCTCTTAGGGTTAATGATAGGAAGAAGTTTGTTTAACCTGGCCAGCTACTATGCTTTAAATTTAAATATAGTGGATTATGAAACTCAACCTATTTCCTGTTTTTCCTTGACCTCTAAAAAATTTAGTGTTAAATTTCTTGTTTACAGTATCTTTCCTTGGCCCCAATTTTCTAGCAGTGCTTTTTCCGTTACTGTTTCCTGTGTTCTACCCTTTACTCCCCTTTTATGGCTTAGTTGGGGTATAAATAAATGAGTGAATGAATCTGGATATCAGTCCTTCAATTTTGCTCCTAAAGGCAACATAGGATGTTTTGTATGAGAGAAAGGGGTCCTTCCCTATCCACCCCTCCTTTACTGTCTCCCTCCCTCCTTCCCTCCCTCCCTCCCTCCTGCCAGAGTTTTAAAAAATGTGAGAAACTGTTGTGTTTAAGGGGTAGTGTGCTCAGGTAAGTGACCCTGCTTAAAGGATTGAAGTCTAGCCCTGTTGAAAGAGATCAGGTGTAGATATACGGGAGTGTGAATCTGGTGGTTATGATGTCAAGGAGAGGGTCCTTGTGTGGATGTGATTAGGTCCTCTAACTCAATTCCCTGTTGTTTGAGTCCTCTATTTCCACACAGAAGCTGCCTTCAGATGTTGGTTTACTTAGTCCTGGCTATGTGAGTGATTGAGAACTTTGAGCTTGTTCATGTGTCATCCCTAGGACCTGAACGCCTACAAGAAGCAGGGGATAGCATTGCTGACCAGAGTGGGTGAGTCAGTCAAACATGTCACTGGAGGCTACAAGCTGAGAAGTCGACCTCTTGAGTTTGCAGCCATAGGTGATTACTTAGATACGTTTGCACTCAAACTGGGAACCATTGATCGAATAGCCCAACGGATCATCAAAGAAGAAATAGGTGAGTTCTTTGTTGAGATCTTGATTATGCCCAGACACTCATTGGCAGAAATGGTATTCATGTTTGCTAAGCAGAATCTAACTGCAAAAATGCTGGAGTGACAGAACTAGGCCATATTCCACTATCAAACACGTAAATACAAGGAGGGGCGGAGCTGGTTGTGACTAGAATGTAATTTTGCACTCCATCCTTTGTCCTGCGTCTCAGCCTTGTGCTTGCTTTCCTATGGCTTACAACCATTTCTGAGCCTCCAGGCTTTTCCTCTCTCTTAACTTTAGCTTTAAAAGTAAAGACATAGACTCAACTGCTCTTCATCCATAGGAATGATAATTTAAAAACAAACTTCGATATTTTTTTCTGGCAGAAACATAGTTCAAAAGGACAGCATAGTGGCCTGTGTTTGCCAAAGTTATGACTCTAATGAGCTTTCAAACTTGAAATTGACTCACCTGCCCCACAGCCCTGGCTCATTTCAAACCTACTCCTCCTGCTCTGAGGAATTGCCAGGGACTGTGTTTATCCTTTCTAGTTGTTGCCACCACTTTCTTTCCTCCTCTCTCGTGGTCACATGCTTTGCTACATCCTAGAATATGAGACTTTTTTGACTTCCTACCTACTTGTAGGGCCAGGCAGACCTGAATGAATAATGTTAACAATCATGCTGGCACATGAAACACTTTGAAAGGATTCTTCAACGGTTGTCATTCATTGGTTACTAAACAATGGCAACAGCATTCTGTTGTAATGGCAAGAACCTTGGTGACCAGATTTTCTTTGTAGGGGAAAATAAATCAACATTTTTTTCTTGTCCCCTGTGCTTGTTCCCTCTCCTTTTCCACTGATTATATCATGTGAGGGCCCAAAGATTTTAGATGGGTATCATCTATACCTAGGGATCATGTGGAGTAAATTCTAATGGAACCAAGGTGTTAAATGACCACTAAGTGAGAGAATGAATCTGCTGATAAAAGACTACATCTCTTGTATCGAGATGTGTTGTAAAATTCCATTGTAACTGATTTTTTTCCCCCCTTTGAAAACATCCCCCCTAAACCTATACGGAACTCTGTTCCCATTGCATGTTAAAATACTGCTTCGCTGTATGGGTAGATGAGTGATTATTTCTGAAGATATTCAGTGGATGAAGCTCTTACCACTTTTCCCCACAAGGCATTGTGGTGCCCATTATCCAGAGGCACAGCATTCCCATTATGGGATGAAATGGATTGATGCTATAATGTGTGCTGCAACATCAGCTTTTAGAAGTTTAAAACATTGTGTTAGAGATAGTGTTGTGTTTTAAAAAGAGTGGGCTCGGGTAAGCAAATGGACAAAGAAACACATCTTAATGTAGAGAGCTCTTGGCTGTGGTGATTACTGTGTCAGTAATACTAGTGATTGCTAACCAGACAGATTTTAATTGGTGTTTCTTCCCATGTTCAGAGTACCTGGTAGAGCTGAGAGAATATGGGCCTGTGTACTCCACATGGAGCACACTGGAGGGTGAGCTGGCCGAACCCCTGGAGGGTGTGTCAGCTTGCATCGGGAACTGCTCTACTGCCTTGGAAGAGTTGACAGATGACATGACAGAAGATTTTCTACCTGTGCTCAGGGAATATATTTTATATTCTGATTCCATGAAGGTAAGCTCACTTGATTCTTGTGCACTTAGGTACCTTGTTTGTAATAATAATTATCAAAAAGTAATGGATTATTGCCAATTTGTATATGATACACATTTCCTTCTTCCTGGGTGGGCAGGATCAGACATGTGGACTGATATTGTGGACATATAAATGGAACATGTGGTGAATCATGTATGTGCATTAAGTGTTTTTGGGTTTTTTTTTTGAGTTGGAGTCTCACTCTGTCGCCCAGACTGGAGTGCAGTGACCGCTCCCAGCCACTGCAGCCTCTACCTGCTGGGCTCCGGCGATCCTTCCGCCTCAGCCTTCCAAGTAGCTGGAATTACAGGCATGCGCTACCACACCCAGCTGATTTTTTGATTTATTGTAGAGATGAGGTCTTGCTGCCCAGGCGGGTCTCGAACCCGCGGGCTCAGGCAATCCACTCACCTCAGCCTCCCAAAGGCGCGGGATTACAGACTGAGCCACCGAGTCCAGCTTATGAATTAAGTTTTTTTTAAAAGTTTGGTAAGACATTTTTACTAGTGGTCTGTGAGAGTTCAAGGATATGTAATGTGTACTGAACAAGAACAGGATGCTGTAGAAAAAGAATAGTTAGATAATTAGAATTCTTGGAAGGTAAAATGTGATTGCCGAAATAAAATTGAATAGTAAAGTTGGAAGATAAGGTTGAGGAAATCTTAAAGCAAAATGCAAAAATGCAAAAGTACTAGAAATGTGAAAGAAAAGAGACATAGAGAATTGATCCCAAAGATTCAACATCTGACTGATGAGAGTTCATGAGAGCACAGGGAAAACTGAAGGAAGGAAGCTGTGAAAGAAGTAATACAAGAAAATCTCCTGTAGCTGAAGATGTAAATTTTCAGATTAAAAGAAAATGCTAATTACCCAGCAAAAAATAACGAAAAGAGAACCAACCCAAAACATACCATAGTGAAATTTCAGAACAAAAGTGACACGATTTTTGAAGGCTTAAAAAAGAGAGAGAGAGGCAGGTGATACATAAAAGAAACAAGATTCAGAATGACTTTGGTCTAACAGCAATGAATGAGAAAAGAGAGAGAAACTGTGAGGACAAAAGATTTCCAGCCTCAAATTCTATATACAGAACTGGGCAGGATGAAATGTTTAAATGTTCACACGAGAAACTTCTCCAGCCTGCACATAGATGGATTGGAGAACACAGATTCGGGGAACTCCGACAAAGGTGGCACCAGTTAGAGAAAGGGTTAGGATTCCTGACCAACAGAAAGAAGTACATGGCTCAGTGTCGAACATCCCCACTTCCATGTAGGCCCCTTCCTAATTCCCTCAGAGGAGACCTCTGAATTATTTTTTTTAGAGACAAAGTCTTGCTTGTTGCCCCGCTAGAGTACAGTGGTGTGATCATAGCTCGAACTCCTGGGCTCAAGTGAACCTCCTGAGTAGCAGGGACTAGGTACACACCATCACACCCAGCTACTTCTAAATTATTAATCTCTCTTTAAGGCAGTTCTAAGTAATGCGTCCCATTAAGAAAGACCTGTGTAGGGACTGACCTGAATCTCCAGAGAGAAATCTGTCAGTCAACAATGGGTTGTAAAAATGGAAACCCAGAAAGATCATAGAACTACATCTTGAGAAGAAGGGGAATAAAAAATAATCAACTAGTTATAGAAACTTTAAAAAAAAACTTTATTCTGGAAAACTTCAAGCACATACAAAAGCAGAGTCTAGTATGATGAACTCTCATGTACCTATCATTCTTATTCCATCTTGTTTCATCAGGTATGAATGTTGTAAGGCTCTTGATACATATTAAAGTGTGGACAATGGAAAATGGAGCCTCTTCCTGGTAGAATGATTCACGGTCTCATGTATAATCTGTAAAGCTGCTTATAAAACACTTTCAAAAACAGGTTTGTGTCTGGATATCACAATGATCAGGGAAATGGTATGAATTTCCTTATCTATAAGGTGGAAATGGTGATGATGGTGATGGTGGTGGTGGTGATAGGATAAAGCTCAGATGTGAGATCAAAGCCTGAGACAGCTTTGTTGGTAATTATGGAACTGAGACTGAGAACCAAATCTTCTGGCTCCAAATATACAGCTCATTCTTGTCTATCACATTGCCTCTTTTAAAAAAATTGAGATATACACATTATATTTTTAATCCTGTGACTGAAACAGGTATATAAAGGCAATCTGAACTTGCTTAAAGTGATCCAGAATATTTCACTTATGAAGCTAATAGTATCTATTTTTGTGCGCAAAAATAAATTTTTACTATTCGTGGAATGTCCTTGGATTTGTCTCTTACATAGACAGACCCTTCATCAAAACACTCCCTAACCTTGCCAGACTAAAAATCTAATGCATACACAGCACTGGGATATTATAGTACACATTTCTTTGTCTTTATGTGTGGCAAGTATGTTAGTATTTAATATATATTTGTTCTTGAAGTAAGATTTTAAATTTTCATATAGTACAGATTTATCTGGAATCTTTATTAAAACATTATTATACTGTGAAACATAAGCTCCTGTGAATAATTGAAGTCATACATCAAAGAAACATTTGTTTGGTCTCTTTCTTCACCCCATGTGTGAGGCACATGTATTGAGTTTCTTGTTTATTGAACCTGAAAAAAATACTGATCAGGTTAATCAGGGTGGGAGAAGGGGGTTGTACGTGGCATTGTTTGCGGGAAGGCCTTGAAAAAGAGGAGTTATTGACTGACTCTCTGAAACCTAAGCTCTGCCCCAAGGTGAGCTGGGCCCTGTTAGTAAGAAATGAGGCCACCTGCTCCCCCTTTCTAGCAGGAAAGCGTCTCTGCAGAGTGTTGTGGACAAGACAGGAATGACTTGATAGCAAAGTTGTGATTGCAGGTAGGATTGTCGGGGTCTGTGTGGCCGGGACTAAAGACATCAGGAGAGTAATAGGTGTCTTATGTGGCTCTCTGCCTTTTCACATTGCTGTTCATAAAGAGTTCTTAACTACAAGGGGTGCCAAAAAAATGTATACACATTTGAAGTATGACATTTGCTCAAAAGATGGCATAATCAAATGAATGCTAGCGTCACCATGCAACAGGCAAGAAAATGGCAGAAGCATGGCTGAATGAACATCATACTACCTGTTGCTACCATAATTCAATTCAACTTCGAAAAATAATACATAGCTAACATCTCTTAAAATGTATATCCAGCTGGGCTTGGCAGCTCAGCCTGTAATCCCAGCGCTTTGGGAGGCTGAGGTGAGTGGATTACCTGAGCCCGAGGGTTCGAGACCTGCCTGGGCAACTTGGCGAGACCTCATCTCTACAAGAAAAATAAAAAATTAGCCGGGCGTGGTAGCGTGCGCCTGTAGTTCCAGCTACTTGGAAGGCTGAGGTAGAAGGATCACCGGAGCCCAGCAGGT